ATCGCTTCATTATATATTAAGTAAGCACTGAAGAGTTCAAATGTTTCGTGCCCGGCTCATGGTCATGTACGTTCTTTCTTCATTCGCTTGAGTTGATTCGCCCATCTATACTTGACATGTACATTTGAAATGACGACGCATACTATGTCGATATATTTAGTTCGCTGCCGTTCATCGTACCTCGTCCATGGTGTTTGTGCGCAGAAAATTGGTGAATCAGCTAGGTGAGATCGACCGAAGCGTGTGTGTGTTTGTACCTAAAAATGTACACCAAATGTTCTATTTACTTGTGCATGCTTCGATGAACGGTCTCTCTCGGTGAGCCATAAAAATGGAGTACATTTTGTCATAAGGGATTTAATCTAGGTTTTTTGATCTTCAGCGATTATAATAATGGCAATGATGATAAAAATAATACACACGGGCGGAACACAAAAGGAGACGGTGCGATACGTGTTGAAAAGCACTATGTGCGCACATTTTACTGGCATTTCCGTGGGCCTCGCCATTTAACGCTGATAAGCCAAATATAACAAAATAAGCTCAAGTTTTTCACTCGGCTTTTTCGCCCATTTTCTCTCGCTCTCACTCTCGTTCTTCACATGTATCGACAGTCAGTGTTATTGTATTATAATAATCTTGTTGAATTTTGCTCGAAATTAAGGCGATTACTCAACCCTTGTTTTACTCAGTCAGTGTTTCCTTTTTGACCTGCCTGATCCAATCCACTTGGCTCGGATGCATTCATCATTCGAAAATCATCGCCTGAAGTTTAAACAACAATTTGTTAGATGTAAAATTGCTGACTCATCTACTTTGAGGAAGAAAAAGAGACGATGAAAAAAAAGAAACCCAACGAATTTGCACAGAAAGGCATCAACGCAATCAGAAACGTTATCATCATCGATTACTCTTCCAATTCAATAACAATGCAATTACAGCAAAAACTCTACAATTTCATTCAATACGATATATTGTTGCGAATCAACGAAAGAGCTAGATGTAGGCTGCTGCGGATGAAACAATGATTTTCTCCGTCCAGTTATTTACCATTTTCTGCTGGAATTTCGAGTGGGCATCTGATTATTTCATAATAAAAGCTTGAGGGTTTTTTTTCGGAGCAAAAATTCTCGAAATTATTTCAATTGCAATTCCATTTAACTGGGCTTTAACATTGTATTAAAGTAACAATTCCATTGTTTGTAGCCATTCGAATGCGAACCAAAAGTGGATGTTGTTGTTTTTGCTGCTATTTTGGTTGTTTTTCTGCCTTGTAGATTTGCTTTATCCCACAAAAATGATACATTTATTCCACACCAAAACACATAATTCTCTCATATTTTGCAATAATTTCCCGTGAATGCTTCGCTTCCTACGGATTTTCTCTTTTTATCTCTCTCTCTCTCTCTCGTGCTTACGCTTAAATGCCGCTTTGTGTTTGTGTGTATGGCATAGTTTTTTGGTATAAACAAGCAGATCTATTCAGAAATATGGCAATTATTTATGCTTACGTCCAGAAACTAACAACGAAAATTGCCTTATTTGTTTTTTTAGTTAACTGTAATAAATTTGAATTGTATTCAGTTTGGTCACCACGGCGCAAAAATTACTGCAAATTTTGCTCGATACATAATCTGAAAGAGATCCCCTTTGTATACGAGTAATTTTCATTCATATCATTCGGAATGAGATTGCTGCTGTTGCTGTGGCTGTTGTTATCGTTTTTCATGCATAAGTCTAATTGAAACGAAAACTTGATTTCAAAGCACACAGATGATGTCCATTCAGGCCCAACGACCGTCTATTTTTAGTTCTTTTCATTCCTTTTTACCATTTATCAAACGGACAGAGTCTTTGGAATAAGTTTCACAACGAAAATGTCCACGTAATTAAAAATAATGCGTTGGAAAAACGGATCCGGAGCATTCCGTCACCACTGTGATTTGAGCCCAAATGTAGAAGAACAGAACAACGATAAACGAGGACATTTTTAGATAAACAAATTTCATGTAATTTTTATGTAAAGTATGAGAAAAACTGTGGCTGAAATCTGACTGCTGTTGCTGCTGCTGCTGCTGGGTTGGGGTGTTGGCCACATTTCGGGTCGTGTGTGCTCGCACGAGGTGCAGAGCGATAGCAAATGGTGATGCTGTGACTACTGTACCGAATGGGGCATAAAATAAAATAGAGACAATTTGATGAATACATTTTGGATTCTTATCATTCGTTGCGAATGCGAAATAGCTACGGGGACAAAATGATATTTACTCAAATGAATAGACACCACAAATACACGAACCGCTCTCTGCAAATGGTGCAAATGTGCGCCGAAGGACAGTTTTCATGTTGATATATTCACCGTTGTGCGTATCGAAGCAATGTCTAACGCAATCACACACACCAATCCAAAGTGAATGCTCTGAATTTGCAATTTATATTGAAATTCTGCACATAGAATGCCGAGAAAAGACTGAATAAGAAGCGGACCTAATCAAATTACATATACATTCACCATCTATATAAAAGCAAGCATTATATATACGTGCATGTACCTCGGCATAAGCATCCTAACGTGAAAAAACGTGAACGAAAAAAATCGATTAAATTGCTAGTATGTTTTTTTTCTCTCTTCTGTATGCGGCATTCAGCCGTATCGTATACGGTTTTATTGTTCTAGTTTGTGGTTGTTGTAGGCAAAAAAGTTATGCGAGTCCCTTTAGTCGCCGCCAACACTCATTCAATCCACCGTTGTGCGCGTTGCTCGTCGGCCCGGAATCAATGGCTGATAGACGACAACATAGAAACGGTACAACCCGGCATTTTCAAGAGAATAGCGGCAGCAGCAGCGACAGCAGAAGAAAAATCCCAACAACACACTAAACGACCTGAAATAAAACTCGGCACTGATTCATCAAAATTGTTATTCGACGCCATTTAACGAACGGGGCAGAAGAGAGATCGAGCTTAAACGAATCGCCTTTTTGTGTTGTGGCTGCTGTCTTTTATGGCGTGTGCGTGATTCTCGAAATAAATTGTACGGATCATAAATTCGACATTCACATCAAATAGTGCTGAAACATTTTGCACAGTTCAAACCATTGACACGGAGGGCTATTTTTTTGCTCGTGTGTGTGCGCTTGGTTATTGAATTTCTTCCCTTTTTTTGCTAATTGTTATTCTAATGATGATGGATTCAATGAGACGTCATTAAACCAACACCATTTCCATTTGGGTAGATTCACTCACACACAAAGAAATGACTTCAGGTGAGAGATGACACACACACACACACACACACACACACATGAATTGCTATTGAAATTTACCCAGTCAAAGCGATACAAATGGGAAAAAGTTTTCAGGGCAAAAAATGAAATGCAATCCTCGGAAGTTTTAATTAACATTCATGTTCATCAGAGAAAGAAAAAAAATCCATTTTTTTTGTGTGCCTCTGTAAATCACACCATCCATTTTTGTTTGACATACCAGCGATAGAAAGCAGAATGCATCACCACACAATAGATAACAAGCAGCAATTTTGTAATTAAACTCTTTTTGTTGTTGTTGCTGCTGCTGTAAATGACGTGAGCACGCAACAAAATTTATGTATGCGAATCTAATTTCCCCAAGGCCATTGAAGCTACATTTTTTCGTTGTTGTTCCTTGTCATCGGCGACGATGATGATGGCTGTGGCGGTGGCAAGTTTGTTACCCGCGCTTCGAGCCACTGGAGTTGTCATCGGCATCGTTTCGAGCCACGTACACACGATTTTCTGTGTCGCAATCATTCATGCGACTATTTTGGTTTTTGTTTTTATTCATGTATGCAGAAAAATGTCGGAGTATTTTCAAACTACATGTTGTCGTGGATTTTTTTTTATCTCTCGTTCCTTTGCTGGGTCGTCGTCGTTTCATTTCTGCCTGCATTGTTCACAATTTTCCATTCATTTGGAATCGTTCCATATATATATACGCTACGCGCTGATGATTCGGTGACATTTTACATTTTATTTATATGCATACCATCACGCACACGCAAAACAGATAAAAAACAACAGATTTTCAAATAAAACTGAAAACGGAATGTAATTGGAAAGAGAATTACGCATAACAATGTTTTTTATGACAGTGAAATGTGACATTTTTTTGCCAGTTCGGGTGTGCACCAATTTTTTTCATCCCAGTTAGCAGTAAACTTTTGTTTATGGCTCGTTTCATATCAACGATAGAAACTATTTCATCAAGTTTTTTCTTTTGCTCCATAATTGTGCACTGAAATTTCTGTTCGTTTTTTCCTTCTCTGCATTTGCATTGAATCAAAAAGAACCCATTAATTCTTGTTTACCGAACAAGTAATGATTTTTCGATGCTATCGGATGGCTTTTCGTATTTTCGAATGAAATGTGTATGAACACATTGTGGTGGAATGACAGTTGACCCGTGCACTAGACAAAGCCAACTTCAAATCAAACGGAAATCATAAATTTTACCCGCATCTTGTTTTCAAAAGAACCTACTGCATGCATATTGTGTTTTCAACTTTCAATCGCACAAATTGAACTCGAACAGTTCAAGCGACTGGATCTGCTCGTTTTCGCATTGACGCACATTGTTTGTCTCGCAATCGTATGATTGCATGATGATATCGATGACGCGACCATCGTCTCGTTATATTGTGTGTCACATTGTTCGAAAGCTATCAGCGTGACATTTCCAAGCTACAATTGTTATAAACAATCTCTCTCCAATTGAGTCACAGACTCAAATGAAAACATCATTGAAATGTTTACCAATTTTACGATTTCATGAATCGAAATCCAAGAATGAGAAAGAGAGAAAGAAAGATAGAGAGAGAAAGAGAGCGAAAAAGCATTTCACCGACAACAAACACTGTATACTTTTCTATCCACCAATCATGCAAAACCAAAAAAAAAAAACAACAATTCATAATTCATATCCATTTTTGTCATTTTATTTTTCTCTTTCTTCCTCCAATACAGAATAAACGAATCATTTCCTACGTTTTACTTCAGGTCAGTACACATCACTTTACATTTCCATCATTTTTGTTTGTTTCTTTGTGTATATGAAGTATTTGTTTTTATTTCTGTTTTCTGTTTTCTGTGTTTTGTACAAACAACTGTTTTTTGTGTTCCATTCGATTCGTGTGATTTTCGTTGTGATTGTCCAAAGAAGAAATAGAAAATTGTGTGCCGTTTGCAAAGTGAGATAACGAAAAAAATGCTTCCACGAAATGAAAATTGAGAACTTGGTGTGTGTGCTGTGCTGTCGTCGCACGCGTACAAAACTCTACAAAAAGCAAAAAATGCCATATGCTCAGAACAGTTCGCCTGCAAAACATTATTACTGATTATTATGAAAAGCTATAATCATCATAATGACACAGTAATAATGCAGTACATGTATCTATGTCAATCAGACGCCCAAAATTAAAATAAACGATGTATTCGCTGTATTTTTTTTTCGTCTGTTTTGTCGCTGTGAACAAAGGTGAAAGCGATTCGTATTTCATTATTAAATATGCAATGTATTTTCAACATTGTTATCGTTTGAAATCGATAAAACAATCTGGCTTGAACGTTGGCTGGTGCATGGGTTTCCATGCGATCGGAATGAACGAATGAACCTTTGTTATGTGCGGAAAATGTGAGAGGAAAATGCCATTTTTTTCACGGCCTTTTACCAAATTTCAGTTCTATTTGAAATCGAAGCTATCACATTGAATTTTAGGCTTTTTGTTCGTTCTATCGACGTCATTCTGTCACTCATTGTCGCACTTTCGTTCAATTTCGGTATACCTTCTCCAAAATCGGTCCGCATAACAACAAAGGGAAAAAAGCTTGTTTTTTTCATATATCTTTGAGAATTTCAATTAAATCTTATATTCAATATGTTTGCCATTGTATTCGATTAGATGACATTGGTTGGTGACAACCTATCAAAACTCGGTCCATATACCAACGAATAAACACCATTGATTGTGAGAGTGGAAAATGCGAAGCTCAAATCCACGCGCCAACAACAAAAAAGTATGATTGAAATGTTTGCCATTTTTGTCCTCACTGCATTGGATGCTAGAACGAAGCGAAGGAATTGTGTATGAAATCATACTTTTTGGGTGTAAGCTCGATCGATTTTCTTCGACTCGTAGCTTTTGCAGGGATTATATTTCAGTCGATGGCATAAAGTTTGTGTAAAATCCAAGAATTGTGTCTTTAAGAAGAAGAAGTTTTTTTAGGATAATTAGAAATTCCTTTGAGCATTTGGGGTGCATTTTGTGAACTGTGCGCGAACAGACCTCGAACTTACTTAAAATTACAAAGTTAGGGATGCAGACGGCGCAGAAAAAAAATCGACCCGTCAATTTCTAAAAAGTTAATGTGTTTCGTTCGCAACAGTCGCAACTCCAACTCAGCACAATTTGTAGAGCAAATGCGACGGAGAGGAAAACGTACAGCTCTCACCAAGCTATGGCTATAAAATGTGTAAAATGAAGTTTTAAATTGGCAAAAAAAATTGTTCCAGAATGAATTTCAAAGTAATTAATGCACGAAAGTTTATGCTGGAATTAAATTTAAACTTTACGGCTGCCTGAAGTGTATCGAAAAGTGAGTGGGTTATTTATGGTTTTTGCGGCACATTTTCCATACATACACACGACTTTCTAACCATTTATATCGATTTTCCATATTACAAATAGACAGAGCAAATATATAGCGTTATCAGACAGAGAAGAAGCCAAGGCAGTGCAAAAAGTAAGCAGAAAAAAACACACACACTCACGTATATTTTAAAAGGGATTCGATAAACTTTCTGTGTGCAAATAATGTTGAAATGTGTTTTATCAAAGCCATTTATACAACATATATATGCTGAAAAGTAATATAAGTTCGTAAATATTGGCTTAGTTGCTATCTTCTATAGACTTTTATCTAATCCGTCATGCCGTTTATAGTGGAAAGGCACATGGATAGAGTATAGTAGTTTCGACAGTTGTGTTTTTTTTTGCCCTCTCGCATTCTATTGGGAAGTTGAACGAAATGGAATGGCGAAACACAGAATTGCCCGCTAAAAACGACATTTCATGACGCCAAAGAAGCACACGAATTACATACAATTTAAGGCGAACATTTTTATTTCGAATTTATATTATCATTTTGAGCTCGATCCCATTTGCCAGATAAACGACCAACGTACGGGGCATTAAATAAGTTTTCGCTTGATGTATATAAAGACGGACGGTTTTTTTTCGTGCTTCTTTCTCTGTGTCACGCGCGCCGAGAGATATGAACAAAAAGAAGGAAGAAGATAACGACAAACTGTGTGTATAAATTAAATCAAAAGCTTGCTCGCATATACACACAGAGAGACATACGACCGATCGACTAAGCTGGCTAAAAATCGGTAGCAAAAGAGAAAAGAAAAAGAAGAAGAGCCATAACAGTTGAACTTAGATTCCAACTTTTTTTTTGGCTTCGTTTCGATTTCTTTTATTTGTTTTGCCTTTGATATCAGGGCAGCTGAAAAAAAATGTGTCCGATTTGAACTAGCAAAAATGTATGGCCCATCCGATACACATGCACACGGCTTTCAGGCAGACTAATAATTTAAATATTCAGTAAGTACCATTTAATTCAGATGGTCGGTGGAACGAGTGAAACTAGTGTGTGTGTATATATAGCGAAACGACCCATGTATGCGATAGAATGAGATTCGACAACGTCTCGTGGCACGATACAATAGACGATTATTCAAAAACGAAAATGAGTCGATTGCGTTCGCCGTTGACGTACATTGCACGATATGATATTTTCCGATTTCAGTTGCTAAATTGTGTACTAGAAATAAATGTACTATTTTGTTGTTGAGATTTCAAATGCGTTCACAGTTCAAATGTGTATTTGTGTGGAATGTAATTTCCTTTGGGATTCTTAGCCGAATGGCATTTCGTGTATACGGTATGAGAGTGTAATGCCGACGAGCGAGCGCGCGCACGCTCTTCTCACATATAACCGTCTCGTTTTCGCCATCGTTCCATTCATTCAGCACACAACGACTTTTTTCTCTCTGCTGCTTGTGATACAGTGAAGTGTCTGTGTGAGTATTTTGGTTGCTATGAGGCGTGGTCTAACAGCCATGCGTCGTAAAACGTTTCATATTCCAGTCTGCTTCTTCTTCTTCCACTCAGTGGAATCGGTTTGAGTGTTCTTGTCGATTCATTAATGCCACTATATTGCCCGTACAGCATGTACAATGTACATACGCAAACATTTATATGTCATATGGCTTTTTATTCCATCGTGCAGTGTAGCACTCTTTTCAAGAGCTTATATACGTGCGCTTGGATTTTTGTACGTATGTAATCATCGTACGTGTTTTTTTTTCTTCGCTTCTGCCACTCTATACTGTTCCTCATCACACACAGTCTGGCCTTTTTATCGCTATATATTTCCAAATGCGAAGTTGCCGTACTTTCCCTTCATTCTGCCGTCGCTACCACCCGTGCAATGTAATGGAATTGTACCGAATGGAAGTACATGGAAAAGGCTTATAACACTTTTTGGATTGCTTTTATAATGCTCTTTCAGAAAATTTAATTGATGCCGCATGTATTTGATGTATGTGTTTGAGTTGTATGGGAGCGAGCGAGCGAGAGGGAGAGCAAGAGTGAGTGTGCGGAAAGTGTGCGGTATTTTTGCAATAACATGCAAACACACGCACATACCGTACATAGCATACACACACACATCTATCTCGTGCACACAGCACACGCTCGTTCCATCTCGTTCGCTCCTTCTATCTACGTGACTATAAATATACATTAATTGTTCTTGGTTCGTGCGCTGTTGCCACATTTTGCCTCGTTGCCATACCATAGCAATGATATGGTTTATTGTTGTTGTTGTTGTTGTTGTTGTTGTTGTTGTTGTTGTTGTTGTTGCTGCTAGTGCTGCTAGTGGATTTAACACGTAATATTTTGAGTTCAGATCGTTTTTCTTTCCTCTCTCCTTCATTTTTGCGCTTTGTTGTGTCGCATTTCGTTTTCATGCTAAAATCACATTTTACTGCACCGAATGAATATTCGAATGAGCGTTCCCTTGCATTTATGTACTCTTGCCCGACGAGAAATTTGCGGTAAAATAGGTGTACGTCGACTATCCGTCGCATATCCGTTTTTGAGTGCGGATACTCGCAATGCGAATAGGTATCCACAATAAAAGTTGCCGCAAAATGTTATCGCTGAATACCCTGCGACTATTCGCGCTGCGATAAATGTGAAGTTGTAACTGGATCGAGTGTGACATTTCGACTTGAAACTTCGTACAACCAACGTGAAGTTGGCTGCGTTCGACGGACTTTTTCGTATTGCGACTATACGTAGAATAGTCGCAATGCGATATTCCGCAAATTTCTCGTCGGGTTGAAATCAAGAACTGCAAGGGAAAAAAGACAAGTCGAGCACTGAGTAGAAAAAAAACATCAAAACGGTGTCTTTTGAAATAATGCCATAAAATGGAGCAAAAATTAAAAGAATTGGATGAGTTTTCAATGGGATAGAAATGAAAAATCAATTAAACGGCAGTCAGATGCGCATATGTTTCAGTTTCAAATCGTTTTTTCTTCACTTCTGAATAGTAAAAGCCTTTTGGTTGCTTTCTTTTTCAAATTTAATAAGGTTTTCTTTCCCTCATGGAAGCTATTCATAGTGAATGACATTCAAACCATAAAATGAATGAACCATAATGAAAAAAACAACAACAATAGAATCAATTGATGAACGCGTTGATTTCATTCGTTATTTTGTAAGACTTTGCTCGAATATTTTCGGAAAATAATTTTCAATTTGACTAGACTAAATGCAATCGTGTGATGGAATATATTTCAAAAGAGGAAAAAAAACGTTTGCATTGTGTCGAAGTTGATAAGATAGCAAAAGTTTGTTAATTATGAAATCAAATATCGTCATGACTACCAAATTAAAATTGAATATTGCTCAATTTGGATTAGCCAA